CTACACTCTACTAACTACTGACTAACTACTATACTACTACACTACTACTACGATTACTACTACTACTACTACTACTACTACTACTACTACTACTACTACTACTACTAACGACTACTACTACTACTACTACTACTACTACTACTACTACTACTACTACTACTACTACTACTACTACTACTACTACTACTACTACTACTACTACTACTACTACATACTACTACTACTACTACTACTACTACTACTACTACTACTACTACTACTACTACTACTACTACTACTACTACTACTACTACTACTACTACTACTACTACAACGACAACGGCTACGGCTACGGCTACGGCTACGACTACGACTACGACTACTACTACTACTACTACTACTACTACTACTACTACTACTACTACTACTACTACTACTACTACTACTACTACTACTACTGACACCACGACTACTACTGCTACTGCTACTATTACTACCACTGCTACTACGACAACGATTTCGATTACTACCACTTCGTGGCCCCTCTGGCTTCCACGGCTCGCAGAAGGCCTGCACCTGGGCCCTGCGGCGCCCCTTGCCTTGTGGGGTGAGCGCTGCCAATCTGCGGGGGCTGCGCGCCACCCCCGCGACCGCTCTCCCCTCCTTCATCAGCCATCGCGTCAGACACGATGAAGTAGTCGAACTCCTCACCCCCCATCGCCCCCCTCCCGCAGTTGACGAGCGCGCCCGTGTTCCTGCGAGCCCACTCCTGGGGGGGGGGGCGGGGGCCAATGTTCCAGTCGCCTTCCAGAATCCAAGGCCGCCTCTGGCCTCGGACCTGCCCTCCAAGCAGACGCCGCGCTGGGGTTGCACCGACGCCATGAGCAATTCCACCTGCAGGCCCAGGCCCCCCTCCGCTGCGACCCACCTGTGGATGGGCGCCGCCGTGTCACCACTGGTCTCCAGGGCGCCTGCCCCCGTTGACTCTGCCATTCCCATGGCCGCCTTCCACGCTCGCCCGCGTGCCGAGGTGCTCGCCCAAAGTGCCAGGTTGGTCTTGCCTCGGTGCTCTTGCGCCAGTGCGCACTCTGGCACCCTCGAGCTCTCGCGCCGCGCCTCCCCCAGCACCCTGGTTGCTCCAACCGTTGGTGTTCGCCGCCTCGACTGCGACCTCTTGGTCTCTGCGCCTCGGCCCTTCCCCTGGCACCTGACCTCTGGTCCTGCCCCTCGGTTCTCAGCGGCCTTTTCGCCCTGGTCAGGCCCCGCGGCGGCGCCCCCCGCTGCGCCGGCGACCCCCCCCCCCATCGCCGTATGCCCACTGGGCCCGCCATGGGCCTCGACCGGCGCGCGCTGCCCGTCTTCGCTCCTCCCCAGAGCCTCCTCGCCCTCCGCCGCCATCTTGCCGTCGACCGCTTCCAATGCCCCCCCTTGCCCGATAAACCCGCTTTGCGCGCACTCCGCGCGGCGCCCTCGCCGCCGCCTTTCCCCGTCCCCCGCTGAGGGCGACCTGCCTCGCAGGCCGCTCCCAACCTCTCCTCTCTGCCACCGCCGCCCGTATTGCTCGCCCTCATCGCGCTGCCCTCGCCGCCCCCATTCCTGCTCCGCCTTGGACGGTGACCCGCCGCGCGGGCGGCCCTGAACCTCCCCGCGCAGTCGCCGCCACCAAAGGCCGCCTGCCTCGCAAGCCGCCCCCCTGGCCCCGCCCTCCGCGAGCATCCGGTCCACCATCCTGATCTCCATGCGCGCGCTCCTCCGCGCCTCTGTCGCCGCCGAGCTGCCCTCTGGGATCGCGCCCCTCCATGCTCTCCTTCTCAACGTGCCTGATGAGAGGGCCCACCTGCTCGAGGATGTCCATGGGCCGCGCCCCCGCCCCCCCCCAGCGCCCCCCTCAGCCCGGGCGCGCTATCGCCCGGGAGCCGATTACTGTGACCACGACCACCACCACGACCACGGCCCACAACCACTGCGACCGAGACAGCCAACGACCCCCCACCTAACCAGACGCTCGGTGCTCGCCGTGACGCCTCTTGGCTGACAACTGGCCACGAATGACCTTCGTTTTGTCTCGCCACCTCTCCCTCTCCCTGCGCCCTGCCGCCCTGCCCAACGCTAATGCCACCTCCCCCTGCAGCCGCCTCTTTCCTCCCCTCTGCAGCTGCTGTGGCTGGCAGCCCCCCCCCCCCCTGCGTGCATCCCTGGGAAGGCGCGCGGGCCCCGGACTTGAACGGCGTCGCATGTCATGCTGCCGTCTTGCCGACCCCCGTGCACCCACGGATCCCGTGGGCCAACTCTGGCGCCAGTGGTCCGTTGGATGGGAGAGGGGGGAGCAAGAGAGAGGGAGAGGAGGAGGAGGAGGAGGAGGAGGAGGAGGAGGAGGAGGAGGAGGAGGAGGAGAAGACAGAGTGAGGGAGAGGTACGAGGACGAGGGAGGAATGGGACGAGGGGCAGGGCACTTCCCCTCGCTACAATGGGATGGAAGGGTGGGGATGGGCACGTGGACGCCACGGCACGGCTTCCTTCTGCACACGCCGAGGACAGCCGTGGACCAAGAGCGAGCTGCCGCAAGCAAACAGGCTGAGATGACACCAGCCTCCCGTTCGATGGGCGGGGGGCATGTTCGAGCTCCACTACACGTTTTTCACCACCTTTTTCCGTACTCGTCACCTCGCCGCGTTGCAGCAACATCTGCTCGCACCTTGCACACTTTTCCCACGCCTGCCAAGCTGTCTGATACACTTGTCCAACACTTGCCACGCAGTACCTGCCGCGTGGTACGCCTGCGCCGACGCTCGCAATACCGAGGAGGCCTCTCCCGCTGCCTCTGTGCCTCAGGATTTCGACGGGATGGTTGGGTTCCCGACTCCAGGAGAGGACGCGTCGAGGTGGGCCCCTTCCTCTTCCCTCATCCATCCCCCTAGCGAGGGTGAGGCTTACAGCCCCGCCTGCCTCCATCCTCGTGATATGTCGTCCCCGAAGTCCCGTTGCATCTCCCTTCCCTCCCCTCCGGAGACCGTCGGGGCCTATCCCGCCCCCTGGAGGGCGTGTTCTTTCTTTTTCGGGTTCTTTATGATTCTTAGTATTACTATTGCTATTATTACATCATTATTGCTATAAGTATTGTTATTAATGTTCGTTTCCTCATGGTTGTTACTATTCGACTACTATATATATGTATATATAAATTACTCTTGTACGAATAGTACTCTTGCCATTACTATTATTATTATTAGTATTAGCCTTCTTATTTTTCCACTGCAGCAACATTTCATGTCATGCTCCGCCAACATCTTTGGATGGGTCAGTACCACCAGCGTCGGCGCTAGCTACGAGGGGAGGAGGCGAAGATCTTAGGTCATCGTAGTCTTGGTCGTGGTCGTGGTAAAAAGGCATCGTGATCGTGGCCGTGGCCATGGCCACGGGTCGTCGTTGTCGACTTGACGCTCGCTGAAGAACGACAGCCGCGATCCACTCGGAGCGCATCGTCGGAAGGGAAATCCCCGAGGCCGCGAGCCTGGAGCAGCACATTCACCTTGGAGGACGGCTCGTCGGTGCCTCCCTTGACGGGGACCGGCACCTAAGGGAGAAACAGGAGTACCACTTCACTGTGTGAAGGGGGGAGGGGGGAGGAAAACGTGGGGGGGGGGGGGGGGCATTCTTGCATCTTTTGGGGCTCCCGGGAGGGGACGCCAGGGAGGGGGGGGGGACTCCAGTGGGAGGGGAGTGCTCGTCGCCGCAGCAGGGGTGCCCTGCTGGCCCGAGGCCGCCTGGGAGCGTCTCGCGCCCGGTAGGGCGCACGTCGGGGCGCACCCCCGCTGGAGGGGTGACGGGAGCCCAAGGCGGGGGGACTGGCTCAGGGGGAAAAGCGTTGGAACGGAATCTGCAAGGCACATCCAACCGGTCGGCGACAGGTCCCCGATCGAGGCAGCAGGTTCCTGGGCACAGCGGGCTAACCGCACCACTATCGGAGATGATTGGTAGGATGCGACGTCCCCCCCTCTGAGCCCGTTCCCCCCCTCTGGTCAGGCAGCCCGGGGAGACGACACGACGCGACGTGCCCTGACATTCGACGCTGTGAGCACAAACGCAACGTCACGAACGATCACGATTGGAGCCCTCGACCCTATCTTTGTGAAGCACTTCTCGAGCCAAGTTGATACGCGAGGACCCCCAGGCACGAATTAGGCCGAAAACGCTCGTCGCATTTTCCTCGCGACACCCAGATCTGATTGCACGCTGTGGTCTGGGCTCCGCGTCCACGTGGGCCCCCGAGGCCAACTCTCGTGACCAAGCGCGTTCCCGGGTCGGCAGGACCTTCTCCACTAGGCGGGCCATCTCGACCTTCTCCTCCTCGCGGACGGGTATGTACTTGAACTCGTTCGACAGGGAGAACAGGCGAAGCAACTCGATGTCGGACATCATAGGCCTGACAAAAAAAGGCTTACCGATAATTATCCTTCCATGCCTCCTTCACATCATTGTCATCATCCGCCTGCTCGGCCTCCCCTTCTACATTCTAAAGTGCACATGGCCGTCAAGAAGACGGCTGCATTGTCAACGAGCCAATGTTGTGCTGTAATTGGTAGCTGATACCTTGAGGCGGAACGACGCACATCGAGAAGTCCTGCCCGACATTAGGATCGAATATAAATTGGCGGTAGCAACTCCCAACCCAACCCCGAGCCGAGCTTCTATCGAAACAATGTTGCGGCATCATGGCGCAGGTGTCGAAGTTGAATTATGGGGACATGGGCAAATGAAGGCGGTAAACAATTACGCCGAATGATGAGATAATGTGTTGATTAGCAACAAGATCTCTTTTCATCTTGAGCCAAAATGGGTACACGGAGGAGGGTGTCAGAATCACTCCTCCTCGGGCCTGGCCGCCAACCCGGCCAGGCACGACATGCGTCGTACGCGGGCGCGTCCAAGCCGACACGCCCTTCTCAACGTCACGCGCGGGCGCGTCCCAGCCGACGCGCCCATCTCGTCACACGCGGGCGCGTCCAAGCCGACGCGCCCATTTCATCAGCCGGGCTGCGGCCATGCCGCGAGCCCCTCACTTCACCCGTCCGGTGCGATCCTACCGCCACCGGCGGAAACTCATCCAGCCCCACAGGTAGCGGAGCATGGATTCGATCCACTCCTTCACTTGATGTCCTTCTGGGTCGAACTCGGTGCCCGATCCCAGATGTTGAGCGTCGCCATATGTCTCCTCAAGAGAGATCCACCCACGCTCTTAGTCAGCACGTCCGCGACGTTGTTCTTACCAGGAACTGCGGCGATCGAAAGGTCGCCCTTGCCTACACGCTCCTGGATCCACAGGTATCGTGACTGAACATGTCGCATCTTCCCGAGACCTCGCCGTTGGACGTGGCCCCGGGCCGCCGATGAGTCTGAGGCGAGCTCCACCTTCAGGTCCAGCCCCCAGTCTGCGAAGAGGCTGTGTAGACCCAGGCCCACGCTCCCGCCCTTGACCAGGGCGTAGTACTCGCTCTCCCCACTGCTCAGAGAGACCGTCGACTGCAAATTGCTGCCGTGCTTGATGACGTGATGCCCCAGCATCGCCACGAAGCCTCCCGTACTTTTCCGAGTGACTGCACAGCCCGCATGATCGGAGTCCACGTACACCCGGATCTTGTCGAACATCTTCTGCTCCGTGAAGACCGTCACCGTACTGGGATGCCGCTTGAGGTAGCGGCCAACCCTCTTGAGCATGAGCCAACTCGCCTCCGTCGGCGTCTGCATAGACCTGGCGAGCGTCTTCGATGCCTCTGCCAAGTCCAGCCTGTCCTGAGACAGGTAGGCTACCCTCATGGTGAGGGATCGGAAGCGCGAAGCTTCCGCCGCTCCCAGCGCCGCTGACTTCGCGTCCATCATCTGCTTGTCGGCGCTGCGCTTCTCCATCGGCGTGTCCACGCCGTTGGCCTTGCTGAGACCCAGCTCGTCGATCACGATCTCTGCGTGCCGCTTGTCCGGCTCAATCATCGCATGCCGGCAGGGACGGCCACCGCCAGGCGGAACTCCCGCACTGACTTCGATGACCCGATTCAGGAAGACCGCCTGCTTGTCATCGCCCTCGTCGAAGCCGAGGTTCGCAGTCTTCTTGAACTCGTACTTCTTGCCCAACGTGGCTTCGAAGCTGTCGATGTCCTGCTGCTGAGCCAGCACCGCGAAGTCGTCGCCGTGCCCCAGCAGCCTTGTCTCGTCCACCTCCTTGTAGAAGACCGCTGGGCATGACATGCCCGCCTTGTAGCCGCGTTCCTCCAACAGCTCCGTGTAGTCGCCCTGCCAGATCTTGCTGGCGTCCTGCGTGCCGTACCAGGACTTGAGGAGTAAGCCACACTTGTCCTCGCCGTACTCCTTGCGACTCTCCTCCTCCAGCTCCACGAAGATCCTTCGCTGCGCCTTCCCGTAGAAGTGCGCCCTGCTGATGTCGAAGAAGCCGATATTGAAGTTGCCCGGCTTCCTGCCCTTCTTGCGAAGCGACTCCTGAATGTGGAGCGGTGCTTCCCGCGTCCACGTGACCATCAGCGAGACCAGCGACCGCATGGCCTCCAGAGGAGGCATTGCCGAGAAGACCTCGGACGCCTCCAGCTGCTCGTCCGGACGCTTCTTCGCCTTGATCTCCTTCACGACGAGCCTGCTCCTGTAGTTGGGCCTCTCCGCGTCGCCCTTGTTCGTGTCGACCCACTTGAGTGGGATGGGCGGACGCCCAGTCTCAGCGAAAGCCTGAGACCTCGGGACGATCTCGATCAGCTCCTGCTTCTTGACCCACTCGCGCTCGACCGCGCGAGCCTGGGCCACAAGGCCTGCCTCCAGGTAGCCGCCGTTGACGTCGTCCCAGTAGCTCGTCCAGTCCCCGGGCGGCACCGCCGCGTCCACCGGGACTGGGCCCGACTGCTGCACCTGGGCGGTGCTGAGCTCCCCCACGTCGTTCAGCGTGTCCTTGAGCTCCTCCAGCACCGCCTCCACCAACTTCGGTGGATAGACCTTCGCGAACCGCGCGATGCCGCCCACGAGCGTGATGTGGCGATGCCACTCCGCGCGTCCGTCCACATTGCTGCAAGTGCCCTGCAGTCTCCGAGCCAAGCCTGGGTGGTTGGTGACCCACCCGGTCTCCTTGCGCACGAACTCCTCCTGGCCACTGCGTGGGTTCGTGAGCTTCATGCCCCACCGACACATGGGGCCTTTGACCGTGAAGACTCCTGGATGCGCGACCAGCTCCTTGACGATGTCCTCATCCCACGATCGCGCGCTCCAGGGATGCTCATGCAGGAAGTACCTGCCTGGTTTCCTGAGCTGACGCCAGTAGGCGTCGACTGCCACCTTCAGGTGGTGTCTGGCCTCCTCCATCTCAGCCGCCTCCTGCTCATCGGTCCTGAACTTGGCGCTCAGGCCCCTCAGCAAGCTGAACTTCTCGCATGGAGGGGACCCCGTAAGCAGGATGGGATCCATCCGCTCCTGCAGCTCCTCGAGCTCCTTGATGTCCTCGGGTCGCCGCAAGTCCCACGGCGCCCCGTCCTCCTTGAGTTCCTCCAGGTCCGCCGCGAAGCCCGGGCGCAGCTGGAACTCCGCCGCTCGCGCCGAGAACCGATGCGGCGAGTACACCTCTGCCACGTCCACGGCGCCCAGCTGCAACGCCGATAAGGCGATGCTGTCCACCTCCTCGTCGGCGATGTCCACGCCGACACTGGCCCAGTGGCCGCTGACCTGTTCACGAACGAGCGGAAGCAACTCCGCCTTCGCTCTCGTCAGCACTCCGAGCTCGACCAGCTCGATTGACGCCACGTCGAGAGCGAGCACCCGCATGTGTCTCCCCTCGCTGGCGTTCCACACGACTGCCACTCCAGCTGGCAGCTGAGGTCCTTCCGCTGGCGCCGGCTGCGCCGCGAGGTCCTCCATGTCCACTGGTACCGGCACGTCTGCCGGCTGTGGATCACCGCGCTCGAGGGCCTCCGGCACGTCATCCGGGGCCACCTCCACCAAGCGCTTCAGCCGCGACCTGGTCGCGGTCATGTCGACATCCTCGGCGGCCTCTGCCGCTCTCACTGCTCCCGAACTGGAGCTCGCTCCTCCTGAAGGAGCCGCCGCGCCGGAGCCTGATGCTCCCGGCTGGCTCTCTCGCATGCGCGCCGCTGCTGCTGGCGCTGCTGCTGATCGGCTCGCGGCCGGCGCCGACGCCGCCGCTGCCACTGGCTCGGTGATCCTCCGAGCCGTCTTCGGCGGAGGGGTCCCTGCCGCGGCCGCTGCCGCCGGGCGGACTCTGGCCTCTTGGCCCTGCCTCCGCTCTCGATACTGGCCGGTCCTCTCCCGGCCTGCCTCCTCAGCGCCCAGCGCTTCGAAGATTCTCTTGCTGCACACCGCGTTGTGCGCATGGCCAGCCAGCACCTTGCCGTGCTTGGCGATCGAGACGCACCCTGGGCATCCCGGCGTTGCGCCCAGCCGCTCGACGTCCGCCTTGAGAACGTACATCCTCCTCGGCGCCTGCGGCTGCGGCGGCACCACCACAATCGGTGGCGGACCGGCCTCTCCCGGTCCGACGATGGCTCGCGGCGCACTGGCCGCACGCGGAGCCACGTCCCACGGCAGGCCCTTCAGGCTGTCCCAGCCCGCCGTGATCCACTTCTCGCTCTGCGGCAGGCTGCGAAAGCCGACCGCCTTCTTCACGCCGTCGCTCGTGATGACCATCATCGAGCCGTCGCGCGGGTGGTGGCCAATGTAGCGGGCCTCCACCATCTGTTCCTCCAGCGCGTTCTTCCTCGTACGCTCCCCGGCGAACCGCACCATCAGGCGCTCGCCGAAGAGCGGGACCGGCTTCCTCCACTGCCGTCCCGTGAGCCGCTGAAGAGCGGTCTTGCCGTCCTGGCCGCGCCTGTATCGGTTGATCACCGATGCGGCGTGCTCCGGCAGGTGCGCTAGCACTGGGTGCTTGTCCTCCACCTTGACGCCCAGCTTGGACTCCAGGTCCATCTTGAGCGCTCGCACCTGCTTCTTGATCTCGCGCACCGTGACCTCGATCTCCCCATTGGCCTGATGGTCGGCCGGTGCCGACTCCTGGGGAATGGCCTCGAGGCCAGGAACCTCCTCCACCGCGCGCCTCTTGACCAGCAGGATCGCTGGCTCGCCGTCGGACTTGTTGACGATCTTCCTGTAGCCCAGGATCCGTAAGAAGCGTGCGAAGAACTTGATGGCGTAGGCGTCGTCGCCCTTCTTCTCCACGAATGTCGCTGCCATCATCTTCGAACGTCGATCCCGAAGGACCAGCATCGGCATGGTGTCCGCGTCGTCCTGGCCCATGAAGGCGTAATCGGACGAGACCACCGGCACCGCCGTCTCGTCGTCCTCCGGTGCGCGGAGATGCGGCTGGCCTTGGCCCTTTGCCGCAATACACACGCGACACCAGCTGCGGTAAGTCGCGTGTCCCATCGCCTCGTGCTCGGCGATCTCCTTCTGAGAGGGCTCATGAGGTGCCTTCAGCACCCTCGGGCGAGCCTCCTCCTCGCCCTCGTCGGCCTGCTGTCCATCAGGAGCAGCTGGCAAAGCGTCAGCCGCCGCAGCTGCTGCTGGCTGAAAACCCGGCGGTCTCATGTCGGAAGGTCCCGACCCCGCCGCTGCTGCCCCTGCAGCCGATGCCGCAGGGGACTGCTGTATTGAGTCTTCCAGTGGACTTACGCCGAGGGCTGCCTCCTGGGGACTGTCCTCTCGAGGATCTCCAGCAGCTCCTCCTTCGACTTGCCGCTGAGTAGCTCCACCAGCTCGGACTTCGACTTCGCCGAAAATCCCTCCTCGAGAGGAGCAACCGAGCCATGTTGGCCCTTCTTGAGGTAGAAGTTGTAAACGCCCTGCTCACGATAGACCGGCAGCATCTGGTGCTTCGCCGTCTTCGCCTCCTTCTCCAGCATGCCTACTACACGCTTGCCGATTGGGCTCTTCTCGTGGAATATCCAGCCGCCATTGCGGCCTAGGAATGAACACTGTCCAGCTCCTGCTGCCTGCCCCACCGAGATCAACGGCTTGTGCACGTTCGTCACGCGTCCCTTGAGCGCTCGTAGCACTCCGTACTCATCCTCCGCCTTGAGCTGCAAGCTGCCCTCGTCCGGGACAAGCTCACCACTGGCCGTGCGATACGTGCTGCCGTTGCCCTTCAATCCCGTCGGCGGCGCGAAGCTCCGAGGGAATGCTGAGACCGCTGCACCGCTGTCCCAGTTGAACTTCATCCAGTCGTCCTGCGCGAAGGGAGAGAGGTCGACCGCTGCTACGCCGCGGCCGCTGCCGCCGGCGAGCTCCAGGCAATCCAAGCTGCCCATATCCAGGGCGGCGACCTCCGCTTCAGGCTCCTCCTCCAGGCTGCCTGCAGCCTTGCCGCCGGCCTTGCCGCCGCGGCCACCACCTTTACCACCAGCGCTTGCCCCCGTTGCGGATCCAGTTCCAGCCCTCGTACTCGATCCCTGCTCTTTCCTCCAGCATTCGGATGCCTTGTGGCCCCATCTCTCGCAGTTCCGACAGTAGCCGTCGAAGCGCACGCCGGTGCTTCGGGGTGCCGTGTGCCCGGAACCACGGCCCGAACCCGTCGGGGATGTGCGGGAGCCTGAGTATGATCCGCTCGTCGATTTGCTCTTCCCCTTCGTCTCCTGGGCCTTGCCTTTCCCTTTGCTCTTGCCGTCCTTGCCCTTGCCTTTGCCTTTTCCTTTCGGGGCTCCGAACGATCCGACGTCCATGTCGTCCGGATGGTGCGCCCGTGCGCGGATCGATGGCTCCTTGATCTTCACGCCCGTCCGAGCCTCCACGATCGTCATCACCTCGTTCAGACTGTCCTGGAACGTTACGAGCCGATGCTTGTTGAGTACGAGGTGGTTCTCGATGTCCTGAGGCACGAGCATCTCGAGGGCCGCCATCTTGATATCCTCCGGCAGCTCGGCCAGTCCGTCCTCTCCTTGGCGGCGTTCGTACTTGCCTATCTGCTGGATCCATTTCTCTAAGGCGGACCCCAGCTCTTCCGCGTTGCACTTCGGAGGCGAGATGATCGATCTCAGGATCAGCCTCTTCCTCGGACCTGTCGTCGGGTCCCACCTGCGGTGAAGTTTCCGCCAGGCCTCGAGACCGTTCCCGTCTGGCGCGCCCGTCACGAGGTCGTTGCTCTCGCTGCCGTCCGCCGTCGTGCTGATCAGCGCCGCGTACAGCTGGTTGATCTTGGTCACCAGCTCTGGTACTCCTCCGTGCGCCTCCTGTGCCCCTTCGATCGTCACGGGGCGTTCGGCTTCTGCCGCCCACCGGAGAACAGGACGGAAGCTCTCTCCGTACACGCCTATCACGTAGTTCTCCATCTTGCGGTTCCAAGCTCCGAACTTCTCCTGATCGTCGCCTAGCGTCGTGGGCTTGCCGATCCCCTTCGTGTCGACGAGACCTGGTGCGGCTCCTCCCGCGTGCGTAGCTCCTCGGATCTGCTCGCCCATGCGCTCGATCGCCTGCGGAATCGCCGCGAGGCCTCCGGCTACTTGTTGCTGAAGCCGCTGATTCTCGTTCTCGAGCCTCCTCATCTCGTCGACGGTCTGACTCATGCGGGCTGCGAACTCCTGCCTCAGTAAGTCGAACTGCTGCCGAACTTGCTCGTCCATGTTTAATTGCGTGCTTCCTGGCGAGCTCCTCCTTGCGTTCTGAGATCTCCTGCCTCGTACGCTCGAGGTCTATGATCTGATCTAAGACCTCCTTCTTCGCCTCCTCGATTGCTCCTGACGAGTTCTCCGAGGGATGGTCCTCGATGTACGCGAGGTCGTGCAACTTGTTGCCCGTGTCCTTCAGGCCGTGTTTGAACTGCAACTGTCGTCTTCGATTCTCAACAGCTGCGTCACTCCTCTTGCCGCGCCTGCGGCCGCTCTTCGGTGGTTTCCTCTCAACCTCTGCCGGTGGTCCGGCCTCTGCTGTGCTCGGTGCGGCTGATGCCGCTCTCTTCCAGCCTCTCGCCTCGGGCCACGCGCCCTGCCAGCTCGCCGTGGCGCCGCGCGCGCCGCGAGGCCCTGGTGGGTCGCAGCAGTGAGTGGCCAGCTCACGCTACCATGATGAGATAATGTGTTGATTAGCAACAAGATCTCTTTTCATCTTGAGCCAAAATGGGTACACGGAGGAGGGTGTCAGAATCACCGAAACACTTTAACACAAAGTACAACTCATTTGGCCAGCATGCCAAGCCGCTGGCAACGATCACGACAAGGGTGCGAGCCCGAGCGGTGGGGGGCGTGATACTTATGACCGAAATTCAACATACACTTCCGCGGCCTGACACCCAATTGGACAGCATGGTGACTGAACCTCATCTGGAAGGTCGCTGTGTTTTGCCCCGACTTCGCCAGCTTGAAGCGCCTGCCGAGCCCACGTGGACGACTCCTAGGCTCAAGGCTGCAGACTTCATATCCGCGCCGCCGCTCCTGGCAGAAGACAAGAGGCACGACTGGGGAGGGAGGCGAGGGAGGTGGGGGATGGAGGAGAGGCAGTAGGAGGGCAGGGGCGCTCGACCAGGCGGCTCGGGACCCAGAGGCGCGGCCGCTGGCTTCGTCGCCCTTCGAGGTGAACGGGCGAAGAACCGCCGCCAGGCCCCTCTGCCAGCAGGCAGTCAGACGACCTTTCTCCTTCCCATCCTCCCACTCCACATGACCTCCTCCAAATCTCCACCGCTACCCTGCCGCGAGGCACTGAGTGGAGCGTCCTGAGGCCCTTGAGAGTCCTCAACCAGTAGGGTTGTTGACGACGCTCTAAGGACCCGAGACACTAGGCCCTAGCTCACCGGCACCCCGGGGCGCGTTTGGGGTTCCCCGCGTGACTTTGCTGAGACCCTGGAGGCGTGGTTGGGCGTCCTAACCCCCAACATGCCCTACGCCCTAAGATGGTCCCAAGGGTCAATCCTGGAGCCCTCTTGGGGGCCTCTAGGACCGTCTTCGAGGCCCTGGGGCCGGCCCCAAGGTCAAACTCTTTGGAATCCCGTGGATCCGACAACTCTTTCTGAACATTTTTTTGAACAGAAAACAACGTCCAAGACAAGCTGAGAGGTGATACGACTCGTGCCACCACCAGCACCACTTATGCCACTTGCTGCATCGGCATCTTTCGTAGGTGCCGTCCAGTCCCATGCCAGGGGAAGGGTCGATCGGTGGGAAATCTTCGTACCGACTGAACAAGAGGCCCCCGAGATCGCCCCAAGGGATGAGCCCAGACGGGGAACTCGAACTGACGTGTTGAGCTCTGCTCCAGGACCCCCAACAGGCGCCCAAGAGGCCTCTCGGAGGCCCGGAGGCCCCGAGAGATCTTCAAGAGGTCCACTAAAAAACCAAATGAGGCCCCCAAGAGCCCCCAAGGGCCTTCAGGCCTCCAAAGGGACGCCAGGAGTCCATCTTAGAGACCCACAGCGGCCTCAAAAGAGGCTTTTTTTGTCCCCACTTTCAGCACGGTGGCGGAACGGATCCAAGGTCACCAGACATACTGATCGACCCTCACTCTGCCACCCTCCCAGGGGAAGCACTTCCATTCCCTGCCTCCTCCTCCTCCTCCTCCTCCTCCTCCTACTCCTCGTCCTCCTCCTCAAGACGAGCGAAGCTACTGTCGACCAGGGGATCAAGTATTTCCAGCAAAGCACAGCGCTGGAGCAAGAAGCAGCACAGCACGCGAGAGGCGGCAGGACAAGGTGTTCTCAGGCAGAGATGAAAGAGAGGGCCACCTGTCCCGAGGGGTCAAGCCATGCCTTGGCGAAGCGCATGAGAAATCCATCCGCCCTGGGACTGGCGTGTGGGATTCTGGACAAAGTGGATCACAGGGGCCAGCGGAAAGAGATAGGGAGGGGGAGGCTGACCTTCGGGCCCAACTCTTGGCGGACACGGCCTCCTGGCCTGACCGGTATCCGATGCCACCCAGGATGCGGGCCAGCACTGGGCCGTGAAGTCAGCCAGTGCTGCCGAAGAGTGGAGGGCCCATTCTGGAGGTCCCCGGCCAGGAGCGGCCCGCGTCCCCCCGAGAGCCCCGGGCGATGTGCGCCGGCGCCACGCTAACGCCTAGCCGCGGGTCAAGAAGGAGCGCAGAACGAGGGAGGGAATTGACCACGGGTCCCCGCACGCGAGGGACGGACGAGGAGGCACAAGGAAGTGGGACGATAGGGCACGCGCGCGCAGAGTGCGGGGGAACGACCGCGCTCCTGGGCCCCTGTTGGCGTGGAGATGTTGCTGGGAAATGTCCCATGGCCAAGATCACATCCGACCACGGATCAGAACCGCGGCGCGCACGTGCAAGCAGCAGCGGGGATCAGGGGGAGGGGCGGTGCAAACAGCAGCGGGTAGCAGGAGGAGCAGCAAATGCCAGAGCAGCGTCACAAGCAACTGACTGACGCAACGCGGGGGGGGGGAGGGCGCGGCGGGAAAGGGGTAAGAGGGGGGAGGGCAAAATAGGGAAATGGGGATGGGAGCGGACTCGGCTGCACCATGGCTTATGGAATGACTTGGCGCTGCGCAAAGAGGGTAAAGTAGCAGAGGGTACCGGGCGACGTGGCCCCACCGCGCGGAACAAATACTGCAGCCGATGGAAGGGGGAAGGGGAGCGGAGGCCTGAGGTGGTCGTTGAATGTCGCGATGGACGGGTGACGGATGTAATAGTGGCTGGCCACACGGCCCAGTGCCGTGACCTGCACCTCGGGGCCGAAATGTCTGAGCATGGCCCTTTGCATCGTCTACCTCCTCATGTTTCTCCCTCCCTTCTCGCTATTGACCCCCATTTCTCTTCCTTCCTCCCTAACATCCATCTCCCATGTCCTTAACACACCATCGTCCACCCATCCATCCATCCATCCTCCTCAAGCCTGCCCACTAAACCCACCAGCGTTCTGGGCGCGACTGGTTCAGCGAAATTCCTCTTTCATCTTCCATGTTCCCTTTCGGTGAAGCGCTTGCCCCTCAGGATTTGCCCCTCCCCCTCCCCTTCCCTTGGGTGTGGAAAAGGAAGGTCGCGGGGAAATTAAAGTCGCAAAGGGCACGGCAAGCCGTACCAAGAACTATGCCTAGTCATACGATCGTATCCCATGGAGTGTCCGCGCGGTAGGCACGAGCGGGTAGATGAGAGATAGGACATGACAATATAGGGTGCGTCGCCGACAAAAATGTGGAAACGTTCGTTGTGTCGACGGATGCAGCGTTGATCCAAATATGGGCTGCACCGCTGGAGCCCGGCCGACGTCGGACGCACGCGCTGTCGCTCGAATCTCGCCGTTCAAAGTCACGACGTGGAGAGTCCAACGACCTGCCGCGTCAAGATGCATCCTATATTTCAGGTGTGATGGAATAGCAACAAGTTAACGACAATGTATCGGGCGATCCTTTTGCGGCGGCAAGAGAGCGACCCAAAAACTTCAATACTCACTGCCGCTAAGAGATCCAGCTACTGGAAACTTCGCCCACCGCTCCAACTGAACGGTGAGCCACCTAAATCGAAGTACCGGCGGGTATCTGGAGAGACCTTCGGACGCCAATTCTCGCAAAGTTAAAACGGGGAAACCCGCGACGAGGCAACAAGCGCATAGCCCGCGACGGGGCAGCAGCAACCATGCGTCCATGCCTGCGCTCGCGCCTTATCCGCCAGCCCGACGCGGGCCAGGCTCAGATAATGTTGCCCGGTGCATCTGCTATTCGGAGTGTACCGTTTCACCGCATACTTGAATAATGCGCGCCCTCACTTGTAAAACATATTCCACGGTCGATGCAGCCTTGGTGTGTCCAACGGCCGTCAGGTCACGTGCGTCGCTTCTTTGAGCGCTTTGTACGATGCCTCCTCCCATCACCAACCGAATCCAACTGACGCGGCCCAGTTGGGCGCGCTCACTGGGCCCATTGAGGTCCATGCCAGAAGAGGACCTGGGGGCCAACTCGTCATCGACGATGCGTCACAGAGCACCTAATGTTAACAGGTTCTTAAGATCTGTCACAATACATGATGCAGTTCGCAGCTCGCGTAGCGCAGATGGCTGGGTCGCAGTCTTCCAAATTGTGATCTGCCGCTCGAGCTTCAGCGGGGTAGCTGGATCGCACTTGCAGTCTATATGTTTGGAAGCGCGCATCTATCAAATACACGACAACCTTTCCGCTAGCCGCGTGACCGCGCAGTAGGAAGCCGGCGCCCAGAACGCCGCGCACCTCAACTTCGTCGTCGGCCCCGCCTCTAGGCGACGATGACCTGAGTCGCTGCGTGGGTCAACGTATCCTACCAGAGCCATCATCTGGCATGTCGTGTTCTTCGGGCGCTGCTGCAATTTGCGCGCTGCGGCGCTGGGCCGTCGCGCTTGTGCGTCTGTCGGCGTTTGGGCGCGTTGCCGAGAGAGCGCGCGCTCCATTCGCCGAATTTCAGCGATTAAAGCGCATGCTAACACGCCGCCGGAGGTGATGCACATGACTGACGCAGTTTTCGTCACCTTCTCTTCTGCTGCATCCCCAGTTACTTATGGGTGCTCAACGGGGCGATATTGTTTGATCTACGCATCTTGGTCGAACTGGACGTGGCCGCCCCCAGTCTCGGTGTGGCGCGCGGCGCAGTTAGTGCGACTGTGCATGTTGAGCTTGCATGCGCCGAACGTGCGTTCCACGCGCTTGCAGTGCGTGCCAATCGCGCCCTCGCCCCCTGCCGTATGTCGTTGATGTGCTTAGCCGCGGGGGAGGTTCGAGCTCGTCTCAGATTCTGCGCTGCATGGCGTCGGTTTGAACCCGAAGCCTCCCGAAGAGGACCTGGGTTTCAGCGAGAATGCCCCAGGGGCATCTGCGGCGCCCGATCCCAGCCTTAAGCATTGTAGTCAATGGCGGGGCTCATCGCGAGATGCACAGCCGAGAAGCGTTCGCAGCGCTGCGGATGAGCCAGGAGGCAGCGCACAACGCACCGCACGCTCCTTTTCTCCAGTGGCTTCAGCCAGCCAGGCCCCTCGAAACGCTTTGCCCATGCCCGCGGGAGCAATTGTCCGAGACCTCTCGCGCGCGGCCGCGCGCGAGCGGTCGTTGCCAAGCGAGCCGAGCTGTTCCTGAGAAGATCGCCGCGTCGAAGGCCTCGACGCCGATGAAGTCGCGAAGGACCAGGCGTGACCTGATGGCGCGGCCAATCTCGCCTTTTTCTTTCCGCCTCAAGAGTTCCCATGCGCGCGCATCGAGATGTCATGGTGTTCGACGCGCTTCTGATTTCCAGCGCATTGTAGCAAGTGTTGCCGAACCATATCATCAGCTCCGTTCGCAGATCTCAAGGGATCCGAGCAGGACCCCGCCTGTATTTCAGACGTCGCAGAAGTATTGTAACTCGTCGGCGACAACAGCTCTTGTGGACGCAGCCGGCGCGCAAACGAATGGATATCATCTGGCAACCGCAGCCATTGAGAGACTTACGCTGCTGCTGCGTCAAAACAACTTTGGACATGTCGGTCGTGCAACGGAGCTCTTCGTACTTGCCGTGTTCGCCCAGGTCCAAACTATGGGACTCGTCGTGCTCTGACGTGAATACAGGGCGAAGAACATCTCCTCGGCGTCGTCCTGGCAACAACTTGTCCCTGCAAGTTCCCATGCCCGTCGCTGGGCGCCGTCACTGGCACGCTGCTTTTAATGGGCATGCCAGTGTGGATACAGGGATTCCACTGGGGCATCCTCCAATGCATTTTCTCCCACGGGTTCGGTGCGTCATGTTTCCGCGATGTGCGCGGCGAGACCTGCCTCTGGCCACCCAGGGATTGTCGGGCGCCGACCGCCGTCAGCGGGATGAGGTGCTCGCGCCTGTTCCCATTGAGCATGGCCGCCCGACGGCGGCGCGCCCGCCAGGTCTTCAAACCTGGATTGGTCTTCGCAAAAGCCTAACATTGGATGCCTCGTGCGTCGGTTGATCAAGCGATGGCTTGTTTGCTCAACGCTGTGCCAGGAGGATTCGTTCTAGCGGAACCCTCGAGCGGCTTTGATATCGCAATGCGCACGCGCGCGACGATCGGCGAACGGCGCCGCGAGTCGCCCGCGGGTGCGTTCAGCCACGCGTACGACCACTACGTTCTCGATGCGGACATGATTCCTGCTGTGAGACTGCAAGGCTACATGTACCTTTGGCGAGAGTCTGCTCGCCGTGGCCATCCGCGCGAACTCCTGCTTGGTGGGCAAGTAGCCGAACACCACCGCAAGTTCCCCCTCAAATAGGCTTGCCACGAAGGCCAAGACTCTTCTCATGGACTTCGCACCGGGGCCAATATCGCGAAAGATGGCTGCTTCTACGTATGGGATATGACGTAAGTCTGTATTGTGCAAGAACGTCTCGTCGAAAGACCTTGACTGCTGTCTGACCTCGGTCTGGAACCATGCGCATGACTAAGCATGGCCCATTCCAACTACCACAATGTCTGGCGGTAGGTCGGTGGTAGTCCAAAAGATCACCTGGTTGATAAATGCACTGCCCAGCTGGAGTCGCTCTGGTGCGCAGAGCTCGGTTGGCCTTGGCTACTGCCTTGGCAAGCGAGATGGCTCCAATAGTCGCTTGCTGATATTTTGTGCACGACTGTGGTCGGACTTTCCTGCCCCTTGCTCGTGGTTTACGACTGGCAGATCTGGGAAGCAAGCCGGTTGCCAGACACGAGGGCCACGCCGTTGCAGTATGTAGACCCATTGCCAACGAACAAACCCTCGTGCAATAGTCTATGGGACACCCAAATGCTATCGCGCCTCTGCAGCTCCTCTAGTCATGTCGCAGCAACTGGCCCCTGCTGTTGGATCAGCGCCGAAGTTGCACGCGCAAGTAAAAGCGCACGTGGCCGCGCAAGTGGTTGCGCGGGCCCTGCTGCCAACGCAGCTGGCGCCAGCGCTGGCGCAACCGGTGGGCCCTGACCAAAATTGTTGCATAATTGCGACATCGGCACTTGCCCGGTATTAGAAGGTGGCCCTCCTGGTTGCTTCCGTAGTCCTTCTCGCAGCTTGGGCATCCCCAAAAATACGGTTGCGTATCAAAGCCTCCGACACTGTCGTGGGTTGCGGTGCTGTCTTGGCGCGTTCATCTGCGCGTTGTCGACTCGCGCTGGGCATCCAAGCCCGGTAAACATTGATCGATCGCGGCGCAAGTTGATCGTCCACGTCGAAGCCGGAATTGTTGACCACGAAACTATGCGCCCACGTTCGTCCTTCAGAAGAACCGCGGCCAAACGCAGGAACCTTCCGCGCGGTCAAGACCGCGTCTACGATTAGGGACTGCGTATGTGGTATTTGTGTGTTGGGCCGCCCGCGCCAGCTCCCTGTTGCATGTCTGGGTATGCTCATCGTGGCCTCTGCATCCCAAATGTTCGAAAGGTTTGAATACAGCTTGTGTTGAGCTATTATCTCCCTGGGTTTGCGGGTGACTACTGCTGGAGTCCCTTAATCCTGTTGACCATGGGGCAATCTCGTCTACCCGCGCGACCATGGGTTGTTCCAATAGGAAGAGATGGCGCTGGCTGTCTTGCACGACGGTGACCTCGCAGCAGAAGGCCGGGGGGGGGTCCGCTTTGTGGCGCTGGCGCCAAGCATTGTGGCTCACACTCGCGTTTAAGAGGGGCGGCAGGCCCGCGGTCCTGCAATGGGGGCGCAATACTACCATCGCGACAAAATTACGCGTACTTACGTAATGTACCGCGGCGCGGTGCACCCTCGGGCCCCCAGAGTC